TATATATATATATATATATATATGTGTGTGTGTGTGTGTGTGTGTGTGTGTGTGTATATATATATATATATATCTCGTCCTATCGTCAGCCTGTGAGATCGCCGATACGCAATATTAATAAGCTAATTTAATTGTTTACTTGGTTTCATAGCCGGAGAGTAAACCAACTTCAGGGTAAGGCTAAAAGCATCCTAATGTTAGTGTAATCTATTAACTAGACATTATATCTTTTTAGTCAAGTAGCTTATGGATGTCATGTCAAAAAATATTTTTAATATGACTGAATTTGCATTAAATATAATTTAATAAAAACATTGTAAGTTATTAACTATATTGCTTACATTTCCTCAGTTATTCAAACAGCAGATACATAAAGAGCAAACAACATTTACATTATCAAAGAACATCGTCACTGACTTCAGTCTAGCACAAGTTTATGCACTTTAAAAAAACATTATAATCAGTGAAGCTACACTTTATGATGAATAAATCTCTTATACTTAACACGTACATCTGCACTTTATTTATGATGAGAGAATTTTTACAGAGCAGAATTCAGTCAGTGAGTGCACACTGAACAACAAAACTCCGGTCTTTCAGCGATGACTCATCTGAACACCTCTGATTGGCCATTGCATTCATAAACTCAACTGAATCGTGTGTGATTAGTTTGGTTATAACGCACAACACTGTAAAAGCGTGTAAAAAGAAATCTGATGGTACAAATTAGCCCTAATATTCAATTAGATAATAATACTAGCCTGATAATAATAATAATAGTCAGTACCGCTGCTCCCTATATGCAGAGTACGCAGTTTGCGTAGGGCACCAACTCCCAGGGGGGCACCATCCCAGAACGCTAAAAAAAACAACTTTTGTTCTATATTAATATTAACATACATATACGTAAAAAAAAAATATAAACATGAACCTATATACATAATTATAAAAAATGCGTTTGACAGTGAACGCAGTAGACAGGCGACGCACACGTGATGCGCCATTCCCGCATCCGCGCCCGCCTCATGTTTGCGGCTGACTGCAAATGATCATAATAGGGATGGGCGATACCACTTATTTTGTTTTCGATACGATACCGATATTTTTCAAGGCAGTATCGTCGATATCGATACTTGCTGCCGTTCCCAAAAGCTTTAATGCTTTCTTATGATACTTTTGGGAAAAGCAGCCCTGTTTGAATGCACTGTCAGCAGTGAGTGAACACCCTCTCTGATTGATTAGTTCTGTCTTGCAACATTTGCGTGTTCAGATGAGCAGGAAAATAGTTATATCCTA